GTGTCCGAAAAACATAGAAATAAATTAAAGAGGGGGGGGGAAAGAAACCTCGGCTGCGTGCAAAGGGTGCGGCAAAACCGACGCAGCCGCAGCCCCGATGTGGGCAGCCCTCTCTGGCAGCGAAGCTGCGCTGCAGCGAGCGCTTCAATAGGTTCTTCCTGTACCAGTGAATTCAACGTGCCCAGGACGCGTCTAGCCTAGCAAGCAGTCCTAGCTCCGAAAATGTCAGATCTTTTGGTTGTTCGAATTGGCAGATAAATTATTTGACTCTAGCGGAAGAAGGGGCATGGTCTACAAGGTACGAGAAAGATGAGGGGAAGCAGGACGGCCACATTCTGCTCCTGACCTGTGAGAGCCCTTCATAGAAGTCAAGGTTTGGGAAGATCCGTGCAGGTCTCCACTCCCTGCCCTCCCCAAAGGTTGCATCAGCTATACTTGTGTCTTAAAAACTGTTTGCCCCACATATGCATAGAGGCTTGCAGTGATGAAGACTCTAGTCTCTCCAATGCCATTATGCTCTCCTTTTCACTGACTTCTTGCTTTTCTGCCTATAAGGCTTCACCCTTTCGACAGTGAGAAAAGTAGTTTTCTACCTTTCACATATTTGAAGATTGTTTATTGTTCCCCCCTTCTTTACTCTTCAGTACTCCCTCATTTTCCTTTTTTTTTTTTTGTCTAAAAGGGCTGAATTGCTCAATCTTTTCTCATAGAACATGCTTCTGATCATCTTTCGTTTTCTTCTTCTAAAGCCTCTCCAATTCTGCCACATCTTTCTTGAAGTGCCCAAAACTGGACACAGCCCATCCTTAGCAGTGCAGAGCAAAGTGAAGAGACTTTGTAGGCTATTCTGGTGTTTGCACGTATTAGTATGCCTTTGTTCCCATAGTTGTTTAATTTCTCTGCAGCTTTGTTTACAGTAGGGAGTTTTACTGGCTGCATTATGTTAAATAGCCTAGTGAAAAAATTAAATCATTAATCCACATGTTAACCAAACCTCTAACATATATATTTATGCCACCAGAAATTCTTTTTAGCGTTATAGGCTATTTCACGTGAGATAGCGGTGTAACCCCTGCTGGGAAAAGTCGCTTTAACAGTACAAGAGCTATCTCCATCCATCAAGTTTGCCAGTGTCGTTGTTATTTGGGCAAGCCCTTCCGAGTATAACCAAGATCATAGTTTCTTGGTCTAATAGTTTCTCCATTTAAAAGAAGGTGAGAGCTGGAAACGAAGACAAATGTTAATGAACTGACTCAATCAACATTTATCAATCAATTGGACAGTATCAGGTGAAAGCTGTTACAGGAGGAACACGTATTGATGAATTACTGCAAATGTCAAAGAACACTGGTAACAGACAATGACTCATTTGAGACCTTCCCCACTTCTTCTGTCGGAAGCTGTAATAACAATGCTAAAGAGCAGTACTAGGTCTCGATGTGCTCTGTGAGCATTTACTAGTGAATCGGGAAATATTTGTGTTCCGTGAGGCTGCCAAACCAAATATACAAGCAGAATCTCAAGCCTGCCAAGAGATCCTTGCAGGCAGTCCCTGCCTCCAGCCACATGATTATTCATGGGAAATTATTATTACTTATTTAGTGAAATAAATAATTTCAATAGTTTGCCACAGAATTTTAATTATTAGAGGTGTTGCTGGTAATTTTTCATTTAATCTTTGAGATCCAGCTTGGCCTAGGTGCACCAGTGACTTCACAGCAACTTTAAGTTCCCTCGTCATGGGTCTACTGTCCTTTAAAGCCACTGCATGCTCATGACCAACTCCCTGCCACAGGGCTCCGTTGTGTCTTTTTCAGATGGGAGGGCTTGTGCGCTTCTCTGTCTTGTCTGATACGTAGGTAGTCTACTAACAGGTATTACCTGTCTCTAGAATTTGACCTCAGGTACTACTAGGGCATGATGATGCCTATGCTCCTTTCCTCAACACCAGAATCAGTACAGAGGAAACAAGATTTGGCTCTCACTATTCTAAAGCTACTTGTATGGTAAACTTGGGTTCATCCATGTGGGCAATCAGAAGGAAATTAGCCTTTCCCAAACTTTCGAAAGCCAGGTTCCCTTCATGAAGATACTGCCAGTTTATGGCCCTCCTGATTCAGTGTTCAAAGCAACCCAAAATGAGCAGCTGCTTTGGAAAGATTAGGCAGGTCCTTTCTGTATGTTACTTCTATTCTGCATGTTTTAGGCATTGAGAAAATCATGAACAATGGCATTTTATAAAGCCTTGATGGTGGCACCTGAGTTAGCATTCATTGCACAAATCACATATTTCCCATCTCGGCGCAGTCGTCTGGGGGTTTCTGAGCCTTTTAGTCCACACTGCTGCAGTGATCAGGCTCACTCCTGTTTTCACTAGTTTCTTCATAGCCGCAGCAGGTAAGACTACCTTTCTGTTCCACTATGAAAGCTGAGAACAAATAACGGTCTGTGTGCCCTCTGAAGTGTGTCTTACACTTCCCCCAAGCCATTTCCAGTATCCCAGTGGCAGCATTCTGGGGAACACTAGGTTAAGTAAGCAGCAATCCAAAAAAAAAAAAAGGTGCTAAGAATGTTCCAAATGTTTATTATGTATTAAAAATACCGCAAATAAGCCATACAGTTCATTTCACAGTAACCTAAACAACATTATTCAAGAACTTGAGACGTCAACAAAGAACAGTGCAGTTCAATCAGTGACAACAAAGTTATCTTAATGTCTTGGTCCCTCTTACTATGTCAGCAATTCTTTCCTATTTACAGTGGGAACACCACTAGATATAGCTGAGTATCTTATTTACCCTAGGGAACTTCCTTTTACCTGCACTGTTCCCACAAACTTACCACTTTGTGGAGCTGCTATTTCTAGGAATTTCTTTTTGATGTAGCCAAAGATCTGGCTTGTCCAGGCTGAGGTGGTCATGACCCACCCTACAAGCCGGCAGTGGCCGTTATTTCAAAGGTATCCACATACAGATACCTTTATCAAATGTCTGTATAACTTTCAAAACAAAACTTTAAAAGGAGAGATATTAGAAATCCTTCCCAAAGAGACAGAAAACCAAGGAAGCTCCATGAGGAAGTGGTTTTTAAATAAACATCAACATCTAGAGTATCAGACACTTTTTCTCATTCTCAACCAGTCAGTAGAGGGATCCTTTACTACCAGTGTCCCAGGCAGAGGCCCAGTGACACCAGTAATAATCAGGCCTGAAGTCCTGAATGCGATAATAATAATTCAGGTCACTGTCACCTATGGAAGAACTTGGAAATGTATATGCCTTAGAAGCAATTCTGCTGATTTCATCCTGATTTTCCCCCTTTTGTGTTTTGGAGCGTATTATTATTATCATCAGCATGCTCGCTGTGCAAGGAACACCAGAGTTGTGATTCCAGTTCTTCTCTCTCCTCTTTCAAATTTGTGATCATTTCTACGGAAAGTCCTGTATCACAGATGGGGATTTAGGACTTTGCAGGAGAAACACAGCCTGATCACTTAAACAGCCCAAAAATATGACAAAAATGTTACTGTACCCTCTTGAAACTAATCCCATCCTTCAGCTCAGATGTCCCTGCTCAGCACTGATCTTCTGCACCAGCAGCTAAAGATGTTGGGAAAGAAGCCTATGATCGTAAACAGTAAATCTCTCCAGCCATGCAGTGCACCACGCCTTGGCATCTTCTTTCTGCCTCCGCTCTCCTTCGTTCTTGAGTGCAACAGTCACAACTCGCTTCTCTCTTCCCACTGTAAAACAGCTGTAAAACAAGCTACTACTGCTTAGCAACTCGCCACGTGCCAGCTGGGCTGTGGTAAGTGTCCACGCGTACAGTCGCAGCCCTAAGCAACGCCACTTACCTCAAGCTTGTCCTTACTGTGGGTTTAGCTAACGCCTGTTAGCTCCTTGGCACAGGTTAAGGACACACAAAAATGTACTACAGCTCAATCGATACGTGGTAGACTGACCATATGGCTGAGTCCTAAACTGAAGAAACAGATGAGTGACTTCTGGCCTGCACCACGCTCAAGTTTACCGGTATAACAGTTTTAGCTAGAGGTGTAGTTTTCTTCATCCATGTTTCTTAATCCAAACACACCAGTCAAATCCTCAATGTGTACAGCAGTATGGTTTTCATACCAAAACAGCTGTAGCCCTCCTGTGTGGGACATCTAGTGTCATAGTGTGAAACACCTTCATACCATTAAATATGTGCCCATGCTAATGAGGCTGTAGTGCCTTAGTTACACCACAATAGTTACAGCGGTGCAACTTTCTAGAGAAGGTGAGCCCTTAGAAACTCAAATGCCAACTAAATTCATGTTTTCATAAAACAAAACAAAAAACTACACAAAAGAGAAATAAAGGAAATAAGCAGAACTGTCTCTATTATTAAAGTATTCTTATTCTCTTTGGAGGTATCAAATTGCTTTGAGAGAGAGTAAAAAACTGGGCATACAAAAGCTATTCTCTTTAATCCAATATTTGTACAAGGAGCACCGCTACCTAAACTTTCTCATGTATTTTTTCTACTTTCACAAACAATCTTTCCAGATCGTGCCTCAAGTCATCTATCGAACTCTTCACAGACTCCAAGTTGTTCTCATTATTTTCAATTTTCACCGAGTAGGAGACTAAACTATCCACTGCAGTTCTTATCATTTTCAAATCAGAATCAACCTGGCTGACAGAAGATCTCAGTTCATCTACAGAGCCTTCAACAGAAGAAAATTTTTCGAGATAGCCTTGAGAATGTGTTTCACCCGTCTGAAGAGTTCCTTGATCCAACAAAGTACTAATTTGTTTCTGGACATCCTGAAAAGCACCAGAGGATGGCAGGTCACTAATACTTCTTCTCAAGTTCTCCACATCATTGTGCAGTGAGGTCTGTGATTCACCAAGATTTCTCAGAACGTCTGTGATTGAAGTTGGGTACTGAGCTTATCTTCATATTTTGCCTCCTTAGAAAGGAAAGACTGCAACTTTTCAGTATGTTGAGCAGCAACAGAAGTTAGAGACTCCAGGCTCTCTTCTATGTGTCTCAGTCGAGACTCTAGCCCTTCACTGTTCTTTTCAGAAGTTTCTAATGCTTTTCTGAAGAGTTCATTTTCTTCCCATTTGTTGAGGTCAGCTTTAACTTGCCGTAAATCTTCATCAAGTCTTTTAATGTCACCAGGGAGCTGCATAATAGAATCCTCGGCTCTAAGAACTTTCTCTTGTAAAGCTTTTAATGAAAGATGTTCAGAGTCTGCTGCCTCTTTGAATTTCTCATGTTCTTGTTTGAGGTTTACCAACTCTTTCACTTCAGTATACACATCAGATTCCATGGAGTCTATTGTACTTTTCAGGGCCTCTATGTCCTTTTCTTTGGTTTTCATGGAGGTTTGCATCTCATAAAAAGCATCTTTCAGCACCTTTATTTCATGCTTATATGCATCTGCTTCTTCTAGAGAATTAACCTTTGCTTTCATATTGTTGATTTCATCTTGGCTCCTTTGCTGGACTGTAGTGAATACAGCGATGTTATCATTTATCGCCTTGGTTAACTCCGTTAGTCTCTCTTCCACTGTGTTTTCCAGCGACGTGAAGTCTCGTTCCCTTGCATCCTTCACCATGTGGATGCCATCAGATAAGTCTTTCAAGATTTCATTTTGTAGCTTCTGAAGCACTTCACTGATACGGTTTATTTCACTCTCCCCTTCCTTAACAGCCTTCTCAGTAACTTCTTGCTTCTGCTGAGTAATTTTCATCATGGATTCGAACTCTCCAAACGTGGCTTGAAGGGAACGCACCTAAAACAGAAATCCATATCTTTAATACTTACAATTTCATCCTTAGCTACATCCCTATCCTTTGTTTTTAAGGTCCTTATGGTCCTGGTTACTGTATGAAATGATCACCACCTTCCAGTCTTTCAGGCTTCCTACCTGAGGCCACCCTATGGCCTGTATCTAAACGAGACACAAAAAGCCCAGCACCTACAGCCTCAAAGCTCTCTACATGCACACCTTCTGCTGAGGATCCTCGGCCTCACTGACCTGCCACAGATTAACCACAAAACCTGTAGCAGTGACAAGCAAATCCAAGTCGTCAGAGCTTGCATCCTGACCTCCGAGCCATCCCTCCCTCTACAGTTCCTTGGGGCTGGTTCTATGGGCTGCAAGTTCCCCCTTATTTAGGGCAAAAAATAAAACAAACAAAAACATCCAGCGCCAGCTTCTGTGTGAATTTTGTCTAAGTATGGAGAAACTAGGATTAAACTTTAACAGGTGATCAGAGCCTAGGCCAATACCTGAACATGAAAGAAGTTTCAAACCACTCAAGGAAGGACAACAGGGAAAAATTAGGGGGAAAAAGGAGCTAGGAATAGCTGGAGAATGGAAGTAGTAACCGTGACATTTTGCTGCTCTTAGACATCAATGTGATTTTGGAGACAATTTTCTCGTTTGCTATTTTTTAAGATAAAAATTATAGGAAAGCTTTAATGTTCTAAACACCACAAGTGTTCTAAGTACCACATTATTTAAACACATGCCTACACATGTATGCTCTTAGTGAAAAGGGGCATAGGTTCACGTGTGTGTATGCAGGCACAGAACAAAGCTGTAGCAGCTGTTAAGGGGACCAGCTCACAGAAAGCTGCTAGTATCCCAACTACAAAAATGACCTTTACAGCTGGCTTCCCTGACAGCAATAGGGAAAAGAGCAAGGGCTAAGTGGTCGCCAAGATAAACTACTCTCACCTCTACAGTTAAGATGCAGGTACACCAAAGGGGAAGCCCGTGTTAACTTAATTCTGGTGCAAAGCAGAGTATCAAGACTGTCAAGAAGTCTTTTTGTGTGGGGGGTTTGGTTTTTTTCTAAAAAAAAAAAAAAAACCATTGCAAAGTATGTAAGAACTCCCATTGGCTACAACAGGAATCCATCACGTACGAAATACCTCAAGGCTTTGGCAGGAGGGCAAGTGCTGAGTAATGCATGTTGTGTTGCTTCATGCTACTCTCTCTGTCTGAGGGATATATTAATCAGTCCTGCCACATGGGCTGCCATGTTTACTGATTAGATACACAGCTGGAGGGGTGGTTTTATTTTAGAAATGGAAGGAAGTATACTCTATATATCCTTAGAAAGGAATATACAGAGGTCTTTATTTTTTTTTTTCCTTTTTAACTGAAAGGGATTCCAGCAGCTTTCAGTCGGCCTCTGAACCTAGAAATTCATCTCAAAAGTTCTAACAGACTTATTAACTACTAATTAATTTATTCACATGTATTTATGCTAAATTAACCCCCTGGCCAAAACCTCTCTGATTTTAGTGGAGGTCTACACTGTGAAAGAATTGTAGTTTGGTCAGGAAACTTTCCCTTGCTCCAGGAGACTCCTGAAGTGTGAAGAATCCCCATAAAAATGACTTCCTTTCCCTGCGCCCCCCCTCCCCTTTTTGTAAAAAGGTTTGTAGCTTTACTTTCCCTATAGCTTGTAGTCTCTAGGTCTCACACACCAAGCTAAGAATGAATTAAAAGGGGAGGGGAGCAGGAGAAGCAGGTAATACTAGCATACAAATTGCTGCAGGGCAACAGCGATTACACTGACTTACCAACCTTACTTTCATTACGTCTTAATTGTCATTCATTCTGATTTTTTCCACATAGAGAGCTCTTTCTGTATCCCTATAAATGGACTTCAGGACTGTAGAAGGAGTGCACAAGAAAGTTTGCCTCTCCCTCTTACGACAAATCATTTATTCTTCTTGACACATTCCAACTAAACCACTAAATTCATATTTGCAATTAACCTATCTTTGCACGTTAGTATAAGAAAAGGCACCAGAAACATCCAGGGGAACTCTCTGGAGTCTCAGGAGATCTCTGCTGGTGTAAATTTGATAGAGGGGGATCCCACCCCTCACATACAGAGAGGGGGGTACGCACAGTGTTGGAGAAACACCAGAGCGGAAGTACTTTATACCTATTCCTCCAGTGCC